AGATAACGAGAATGTCCATCACGACCACAGCCGGGGGATCTATGCAATGGTATACAGGAAGGAGGTTGGCCATTTGAAATACCTCGATAGTCTTGATTAACTATGGAGACATCGTTCCTCATGTGAACCCAGCACACTGTACTGATGACTTTAGCCTTTAGATTACCGACAGTGTGCAGAACTAGTAACTGAGAAAATTAATCATCATGAGAAGCGAGGTCCGGAAATACCAGCGCAAATGACGGATTTGTTAAAAGTTACTCAGGCATTGCGCGTTGTCGAGAGCGAAAAAAACGAAAGCAGTTGTAACTCTGAGGAACTTGATTTGATTGATCATGTTTAATGCAAGTATGAAATGGATTATACTTTCAGGAAAAGGTCATTAACACCATTAAACCGTGCGGACACACAGTAGCATCAATTTAGCCTGCCTGCAAATTTGAACAGCGAACCACTTAACAGATTGTCAGTTCCTTCGTCTATCATATGACTGGAGGTCACTATTAACATCAAATGGAAATCCACGGATTCTAAGACTGGTATATGCCGATCCGTATGATAATCTGAATATCAGTTACTCTGCTCTTACGAAGAAGGGAGATTCAGAAATACTATGATTTATGGGCTGATCTTGATGTCCTGTTTGGCAAGGCCTCTCCTTTCATTGGTAGATTGGATGACCGCAATGTTTCGCCTCGTGCGGCCCCGGCTCCAGTTTAACTTTGATCATTCGCGGTTAGCTAGGTCTAGCCATTGAGGTTCCTTTATGGCCTCAGTCTGCTGGCCACCGATCATAATGCAGAGCTGTCGGACGTTCTCAAAGCAGATGATGAAACTTTTTGCATTATGTAGGCGTGCTGGAGACACAGTGAATTGGATGCTGACCATTCGCATAGATTGTTCACCTTGGCGATGGTATGGAGACACAATGCGAGTAACTGTCAGAACTGATTTCAGAATTCTTGCTGCTTGTGCGAGGCCTCATTGACTTGAACCTCCAATTTTTTCATGTACAAACTCTTGGCTACAAATAGGCAACCGCACCCTCTTCATACATAATGTTTACTTTTGAACGAAGTTTCAGCTGTCATACAAAAGAATGATCACTTTTGGCACAACTCTGGAATCTGTAATGTAGAATTTCTTATATTTTGAATGTCCAAACAGCGAAAGATGTTCTTTGTTCCTAGGAAACATCACTTTTTATCCTTATATTCTAAACGCTGCTGTTCAGAGGGTGAAGAGCAAGGAGAAAAAATTTCATCCTACCCGCATTAAGGATTTTTACAAACGGTTAGCGTCAATCCTTTTGTACAACTTGTAATCAGAATATCCTTCATACAGAGAGATTGTCATAACGACGTCATCAGCTTGGATTCGCTCGCCAACAGCTCCATATGCCACAATAGGTCTTTGCAGCTGCAGCAGTGACTAAGGGGTATGTACTTCACTTACTTCTCTGCATGCGATTATATACTACAATACTACAAGCACCGGCCTAGTGATGATGCGGTTTTGTATCCATGCACTGCAGGTGCTTAAATACCATGGGGCCATGGCCTGTTTAAATGGCCCTCTAGGCGGCTAGAAACAAGAGGATGGTGGTTACGTCGCTTTAATCCGGTAGCGAAAAATAAAAAGCAATAAATACTACAGTCGTTGCTCACTTTTAGATACGAAGATTTCGAGAATAGATTATGGTGAAAAACAAAATTTATGTGAGATCAAAGTACGACGAAAGAGCTGCTGAAATGCAAAGTTGTCTTAGAAGCGCTGAATCAGCGAATGACTATACAGGAATCACTCAACAGGTAGCCCCAACTCCTTCTGTTGCCAAAATGATCCGGATTAAGGCAACACGAAGTTCTGAGCCACTTGCATTCACTAGCCTAGATGTATCGACACGGCTTAGCGAGGATGGTCGTGGAAAAGACAATGCAGTAATATCTACGTCCATGGTATATCTGTAAGTACTCATCTACAGAAAAGATCTTAAATTTGCTACTGCAAACATTTGGAGGACTCGCTGTCGCTGTGCCTCAACGAGGACAGATGGTGCAGATGACAGAGAACACAGACCTTACAAAGCAGTGCAAAAAAAATCATAATTCGGTTCATGTCTCTGATAGTTTGGGCATGTTTGTCGAATGCTTAAACAGAGAAGGCAAAACAGCTACGATTTGCGCGACCGACCGGCCGAAAACACCGGCAACGACCAAGAATAACCTGGGACAAGTGCCTCGACACACTCGGGTTCACTTCTTCCGAAACTCAAGTGCTGGCACATAATGAGCACTGTTGGAGACGCTGCTTACTCAGCGACTCGAAGGGATGAGCAGTCATCGTACTTGAGTGACTACTGGTTCATGCGTCTTTGACTAGCAGATCGCTTACCAATCTTCGAAGAGAAATCCTGTCGTATTTAAAGTCTTGCTATTAAAAATCATGCTTTATTATTAATTGAAAGCAAGTTGATTTTTGACAAGCATTATTCTTGGCGCCATATCGAAGAACACCCTTGAAACTGTTCGATTCGCTGCGTTGACAACCGCAATTGGAACCTCGCTATGACGGATTAAGCACCCAGGACGTCAAACTACGTTAAATACCAACATTTTCTCGAAAGTTTGGCGTATTAGTATTTTGGGGTATGTCCTGGGCATGATCAGTCTTCTCCATGATAGGCCCTTGGCTAATGGTGAAAAGTTCCTGTTGATTGCTGGTGCCGTTTTCGATGTCATACGGTGGGGGCGGTGTTTCCGGAACATTACAACGAACGGTGGTGGCGGTGTCATTCAGATGTTTAACGTAGTCGTAGCAGCGGTACAGCACGGCAGCGAACCAGATGCGGATAGATGCCAGAGCTATATAAACACAGCACTCAACCCAGCTGATCGGCTGCTGCCACGACGGCACCACTTCCGGGTAGTCGGCCACGTAAACGTACGAACTGGCGGCGGACAGTGCGAACAGGAGGTGAATGGTCATGTACATCAACAGAACCGAGTCAACGACGAGGAACACGAAGCTGGCCAGAATAAAGCCGCTCCTATGTCGCTTCAGACCGACCAGAAGGATGATGGCAAACGCCAGCTGCAGAAAAAAGTAGCACATGCCGAACAGGAACTGTTCACTGAACCATGGGAACTGGAGGATGTTGAAGACTAGGTATTTGCCGGCCCAGACCAGATTCATCGCCGCGATGATCACTCCTCCGGTCATGACGCTGATGCCGTTGCAGCAGCATCGGTACTTGCGGCGATCGTAACTCCACGTATGGCGTCCGCTGTCCATCATGGTCCGTCTCTAAAACGGTGCGCTGTCACCGAGGTGTGATCACGTGCCATATGACTCGGCACTCAGCACTCGACACTCACCTGTTTATGGTAGCTGGTCGCTCAGCTGCGTGAAACACCGAACACTGATCGCGAAACTCAATCCTTGAGTCTGGAACACCTCGCCGCACAAACACACAACTCGCTGCACAGCTGAAACTCGCAACTTTCGCACAGCAGCCCCACCACCGCCAACAGGATGAACCTGTTCGTGAATCACCGCCACTGCCAGCCACGACTACAGAGCGCGGTTTACAGAACATCATGTGACATGTGGACAGTAGGACAGACAGACAGACACACAGACACACTGGCAGAGCAAGCGACAAATGAAAAGCTTTTGTTGCACCGGCCGGTCACCTGATTTCGTTCAAGAAGCCAAGCGAGCGCCGGAGCTGCTTCACTCGAAACGGACCAGCATCTGATCAGCGATGTGCACCGTAAACAGCATCCTGCCTTTGGCCTGCCTACACCGTAAGTGGTGCACAGCTGCCGTCGCCGCCGTATTCCTCTTTTTCCACGCTCTGCTTTTCATCCACCGCATATTTTGTCATTTTTGTCTGGAAATCTACAATAAGTCAGTCATTCAGTCACTCGTGAGCCTTAGGGTTCACTGAAGTAAATTTAACTGACCGATTGACTCAAAAGACGTCAACTAGTTGATTAACGACGAGCCTCTATGACCCGAGTGCAGACTATAGATTTATGGAACTTGGTTTGTAAGGGTCACTGCCAATAGAAGGCTAGCACCTCTCTTGTCGGCTTCATTCAAAGCTGTCACTGTGTACAAGGTAAATCAGGTAACTCGCTGCTTTGAGGTCTATCACAGGAGGACTCTGCTCCTAGGCAAAGTTTAGCAGTTCCGTTAATGCAGTTGATTTCATGGGAAGGAGAAGGATGAGAATGAAACTGAGCAAGAAAAAGGAGAATAAAGGAAAGGAGAAATATAGGGAGAAGGTTACAAAACAGGCCACTTGGTCAATCAGGTTCGACGACCGCTCATTCTGTCCGGTGGTGGAGGTAGACACACCAGGAAACGCTTACAACGGCTATGATCCTGTGCAAACGTCTAAGCTCTTATGAAAGATAATCCGAGTCTGGAGTACAGTTCATCGAGGTACTTGACCAAAGATATTCTTCGGAGACATGGGAGTCTTCCGCTGGTCGGTTGAGCAAGTAGTAAGTTCTACGCGTTCCTTACAAGATGAATTGGCAAAACATGGCCAAACCATTGCAGCTGTGCATTTCAGTGAGGATGAGGAGAGAGTACGCAAGAAGGCTCTCTCAGATATCTCGACTCTGGTCATTTTCGAGGCATGTGAACCAGGATTAATCTCAGAAAGCTCATTTCAGCTGCTTGTACCCGGGATCAAAGTTTTTCTGTCATGCTCCACAACTTAGGACCGTATTTAAGCATGGGGATAATGATCGACTTGAATACCGAGCGCTTAGTCTGCAGACTCAGCTCTGGTTTAGCCAAAATAGTTTAAGCTAAATCACGCAGAACACCACCCCGTCTCCCCCGTTAATTCGCTAAACGACCTCTTCCTCCTACGTTCCACCACCAGCAAACACGACTTTGAGCCAATGAATTTCTTCACAGGTTCCATTGCTTCTCCGTTTATCTGCAGATGGCAAAGGGCAGGAGAACGAGAAAGCACTAGGCTTTGAGTTTTAGACACGTTCACACGCTTCCGCCCTCGTTGCACTCGGCTACGAACCTTTTCAGAAAAACCTGGACATCAGTTTCAGAGGATTCCGCCCAAATAGGGTCGCCCTCAAAGAGTGACTTTCTCTTCTTTACATCTCTTTTAGTGATACACTCGTCGCCCGGACTGCGTCTGGCTAAAATATCCATTGACAGCATAAACAAGGGAGAGGACAAAATG